ACACACACACACACACACACACACACACACACACACACACACACGCTTTGAATCGTTCATATTGAAAATCGGCAAAACGACTATTTATGAAATTAGATTATATAGAAGTCATTTATGTTACAAGATGGCCCTTATCGATTTTTCGAAAAGCCTCAGGTGTGATTGGAGTATTTAAATATTTATATGACCATTTAATAACACCCAGCACCGTAGGATGGAGGTATAATTATTTTGTCGTTTGCAAGGCCCAGAAGAAGGCGTCAAAGTTTTCATAACTAACGAGTATCAAGTACTGTCTATTTATCTGCACGTCTGTCTCTGCGGATTTATGTGGTACCCACTAAGTTGTCGACGGCAAATTTGACAAAAGCACAGCAGGTTCTTGGGAACTCAAAAGTCGCATCCACAACGCAACTTAGACTGTTTTCAAAAGCAAAAAAAAATTGACTATGAATTATGCATTACTTATATCCTACAATAGATACGAGGATAAAATTTTGCACATATACTACAGTACTTGTTCTAAAATGAAAGAAATCACCCTGGGCTACCCAATAATTACATAGCGTAGAAGTTTTATTTTGTTTCGATTGCAGTCGAATATAATTTTTTATCCTTCTTTTTTAATTACATTTGTAATTAACTTTTACATATAAAATAAACATAAACATATATATATATATATATATGCGTATGTATTTAAAACTGCCATAGCTGTCTAGAATTTAAAAAAAAATGGACTTTGATCATGTTTAAGATAACAAATTCGCACAATGGCTTTTATAAAGTTTATGTTATAAGAAATTTCATAGTCCTCTAGTAGTAGGAAAGGAAAAGACTCCTCGATGACATGGCATCGGAACACAAAACATAATTCAATTTAACATTAGATGTCTTATTGAACAGTTATGGCAGCGAGTTATGGCAAAATCTTCTAATAAATTTGAAACTTAGGCTTGGCTTACCTAAGTTCGGGTATAATCGTAGGGGAAAGTAAGTTTCACTAAAATATGCACAATACAACATCACTTGTCAAAATATTCAAAAATTTATTAATCAAAGTTTTAAGCTGACCTTTGGGACGTGTCGAGAAAACTTAAATGGCGGCATGCAACATACCTTTAAAATATCTTCGTTATTATACAATGGCCCGGTCTTCCCTTTATTTATAACGAGGTTGTGTCTTCCCATCAAAGCGCACATGTTCGCTTCCACGTTGAGTATACAAAAAGCATTAACTTAACCATATTTTTGAAAAAATATCTAATTTAAAAATCATTTCATATCGTCCTTTAAACACAAACACTATTGCATTCGTTGTTATCTCCAAGGGTTTGCATAAAATTCGTGGAACAAAAAAAAAAAAAAAAGAAGAAAACAACAAAAAAAAACTGTTACACGTAGAAAAGTAATTTTTGATGTTTTGATAAGATGATGTAAATTGCATCCAAACAACCAAACCCTCCCTTGTTTAGCTAAGAGTATCTATTATAATTTGCTGTGAGTTTTACTCCCTATACCTTATCTTATTATTGTCTGCGTAAGACAATGTTGTTATTTTATTACCCATACCAATGTTGTTATTGTTGTTGTTGTTGTATTTTATTTTTATTTGTGTTTTTGTTTTGACATAAAAACCGCTATAAACTCGTAAGAGATATATATACATAAAAGGTCTTTTGCTTTGCCTTACTTTATACTTTACTTTCTTCTTCAATTTTTTATTGTACGGCTACAAATGTTTCTCCTTTTAATGAAATTTGCATTGTATGATAAAAATAAAAAGGCTTTCATTGTAACGCAAAACGGAATAAATTCATTGCTCTTATAAAATATTCTAAATTACATAGAAACCTTTCCTTTAAGTTGGCGCTGGAGGAAAGGTTACTTAAGATGCTCTTTATTCTGAGTCGTTTCCATTCTTTATTGTCGGAATTACCGACGGCTTGCTAAAAAGGTGCCAATGCTTTTTGGAGAATGGCCGCCACAGCGGTGGAAATGTTAACAGGAAATGAAAATTTTGCTTAAACATGCCTTCATCGTTAAAGGACATAAGACTAAACAACAACGCCGGAAAACAATCTCGACAAAAACCAATAATTTTTTCCTAATTTCATCCATAACTTCCGGACACGGGGAGGTATTTACGAAAAGCTATCACTCGGACATTCTTCAGACCAACCTCTGCATATTCGTTGCCTCGACAAAACCCAATAATTTTTCCTTATTTTCATCCATAACTTCCGGACTCGGGGAGATATTTATAAAAAACTGTCACTCGGACATTCGTCAGAACAATCTTTGCATATTCGTTGCCTCAACAAAAACCAATAATTTTTTCCTAATTTCATTCATAACTTCCGGACTCGGGAAGACATTTACCAAAAGTTGTCGTTCGGACATTCGTGAGAATAAGCTCTACAGGAACGTACTAATAAGATGAATAACAGTAGAAATTAAATCTCCTTTCAAGAATACGAATTGAGAATATCCCTCTGCAAGGAAACAAGGAAGAAAATTACTACTCGACCTTCGCCGAATCTTTTATACCCGTCGCGGTTGTCCTAACTAAGATAAAAAAAGTGAAAGAAGTAAATTTTCATGCTCTATAGTATTGAGTGGGCGTTGCTGATTTTTTCTACTTTCAAAATAAAACTTTTTATCGCATAGGCCTGTGCACGTTATAGGTATGTCCTTGGGCAAGTTTGGTTCACATTCAAATTATTTTACAAATTTATAGGCGATATTTTTATTTTCGCTAACGGGAGGAGCTTTACTCAAAACGAAAAGACAGACATTCTTAGATGCATTCTTATAGACTTTATAGGATTTTTGAAACCTGTACTGCGAGCGTGTCATTTGCGTCATTTTTAATATCAACCTGCTTGCAAGGACTTCCAATGCTACTGCGAGATTTGAAGTCCTCGTCTAGCTTCGTTTTTGCGACCCGAAGAATGTCTACAACAGATATTGCACAGACCGACAATCGGACATGCTTAATTGATTCAAAATCTGACATTGTCTATGCTCTGTGAAGTCTCTGGTGCTGCCTTATGGGCGTTGCAAAGTTTTCCTCCTTCTGTGATGCGCATAATAAATAATAGAAAATAAAAATTTAATTGGGAAAATTGGGAAAAATCACTTTCTGCAAAATGATTTAATTATTGTAATTGTAACAACAACAACTTTGTGTTCACATTAAACCTTATTTTAGTCAGTTATCATCTTGATTTGATGATTTTTTCATTCGCAGAAGAAGAAAAACATTAATAAAAATATGAAAAGTTTTCACTCAATGTTTGGAAAAAATTTGTCAACGACAAATCGCAGAGATTGTCGAAGAAAATCATGAAAAGAAAAGAAGCAAAATTGCAAGAAATATCGTTCTAAATAACTTTGTGGACTTTTTTCAAAGAATATCCGCCCGAGTGGCCGACAAAGCAAAGGATCTCGACTAACAACTCAAATCTCAAGTGCGGTAGAGTTTTCAGCAAAACTGATAGTCTTAGACAATGCCAGGTGCTTTTAAGAGTTCAGTCTTAGAATTTTTACTTCTCTGATTACAAATTTCATAAATAATACTAATATTTGGAAGAATAATCCGCTCACAAGGCTAACATTATTGCAGCGTTATACTTGATGCCAACTCACGTCAAAGAGATAGGAAATAAAATCAGTAACACGTTTGCATTAGGAATCAGAAATCCATACCCCAATGTCGATTGCTTTATGAAGAAGGCCGAGCAGGAAGAATTCTTGAAGTTTAGCTGCAGACCATTCTATTGATATGAAATCAATATCATCGAGATCTAATAATAATACTTTTATAGTCGCGGCTAAGGCGCGGCAAGAATTCATCTTCTCATTGTTACATATTTTTTGCTGAACGCTATTTCCCAACAATGAGTTGCCTACGAAAATGTCAAAAACATTTGAGAGTTTCTTGCATGAATTGAAAACGATGTGAGCAAGAGAGTAATGTCTTTAAAAAGGGCAAAAAAAAGTGGGTGTAAATATCGATTGTTCTTTAAGTGTAGCTCGGAATAGAATGACATCCGAACAATATTTTTCAAAATCTAAATAAGACTGACTGACTATTGAAAGATTGAATAGAAGAAATTTTTTTTGTTTTTTTTTTTTTGTCTCTTAAAAAATTATTTCTCTTTATTATCGGAAGAATGACGTACGTTACTGTAATTCTTTTATTTCATGCGCAAACTATATAAAATAATACATAAATAAATGTTACTTTGAACGAGTCGATGAATGGCCTTCGTTGCTCGTACTCTTCTTCTTCTTCTTCTTCTTCTTTGTCCAATTTTACTAAAATGAAATATTTAATAACTAATGACGTAGTTTATAGATAAGAAATTGCTTATGACGTCTCGGTTTTCTCTTAATATTTTGAAAAGAAAAGCACGGCTCAGGAATTTTTTATTTACATAATAGTCAAGGAAGACGGTTAGAAAGATAAAGGTCGAATAGATTAATCGAAAATGTAGTTCAAATATAATACATAGCAGAACTAATCACAAGTTCAATATAAGACTGGCCAAACGATCAGTAGGCAATTAGTAAAAAGTCTAAAGCCCAAGGAGTCACCTTGTAATTGCTTTAAGTTAAGTAGAGAGGAACTCTACTTTATTAGAAAATTCTCAACAATCGCAAAATTACATAAACTCGAAAGTATGAACAGAACTAATTACATATTTGTAGGTGGAATAGTGGCATTCTCCTTCCTCCGCCAATAGCTCTATAATGCATGAACATGGAAAACGTGAAAGAATCTATGATAGAAATTGAACCATGCTTTACTGCAAGTGAATATATCAAAAGTAAGCGAATACTTGTTTCTAAAAATGGTCTCAATTCACCCAAAGATATGAAATTCGATATGATTTCCACGTAAGCACTTTAAGCAATGGATTTTCAAATAATAAGCCTATCGGCCTTTCAATCGAACTATACTTGAGTGCAAGTG